TTACTCTGTAGTGTCTTCGGCCTAGGCTGAGATTACTCTAGAGTGATTTGGGCCAAAGTTGAGATTACTCTGGATTGTTTTGGGCCCAGGATGAGATTACTCTAAAGTGCTTGGTCCAATGTACGACGTCATCAAATTGCGAGCGCATGTTTCAATCTCCAGAAATTACGTCATGATAGAACAATGTTTTATCTTATATATGCATATAATGTCATGCAGTACACACATGATAAATATGTCGACAGTGTTTTTCAACAACTAACTTTTCAGGTAAGAGGAAGGTCACTTGAACATCTGGAAGATTTAGAACTGTGTGCCCAAACTGAACAGGATAAGTGGGATACTGTGAAAATGTAGGGGATTGACTTTAGCCCAACGGGGAGTAATCTGACTCCTTGAGTGAGTGTTTTGGACCGAGTAGAGGGCGTGACCTCAGCCTTGAGTGAGTGTTTTGGGCCTAGTAGAGGGAGTGACCTCAGCCTTGAGTGAGTGTTTTGGGCCTAGTAGAGGGAGTGACCTGAACCTTGAGTGAGTGTTTTGGGCCCAGTAGAGGGAGTGACCTGAACCTTGAGTGAGTGTTTTGGGCATAGTAGAGGGAGTGACCTCAGCCTTGAGTGAGTGTTTTGGGCCTAGTAGAGGGAGTGACCTGAACCTTGAGTGAGTGTTTTGGACCGAGTAGAGGGAGTGATCTAAGCCTTGAGTGAGTGTTTTGGGCCGAGTAGAGGGAGTGACCTGAACCTTGAGTGAGTGTTTTGGGCCGAGTAGAGGGAGTGACCTCAGCCTTGAGTGAGTGCCTTTGGACCGAGTAGAGGGAGTGACCTGAACCTTGAGTGAGTGTTTTGGGTCTGGTAGATGGGAGTGTCCTGAGCCTTGAGTGAGTGTTTTTGGGCCTAGTAGAGGGAGTGACCTCAGCCTTGAGTGAGTGTTTTGGGCCTAGTAGAGGGAGTGACCTGAGCCTTGAGTGAGTGTTTTGGACCGAGTAGAGGGCGTGACCTCAGCCTTGAGTGAGTGTTTTGGGCCTAGTAGAGGGAGTGACCTCAGCCTTGAGTGAGTGTTTTGGGCCTAGTAGAGGGAGTGACCTCAGCCTTGAGTGAGTGTTTTGGGCCTAGTAGAGGGGTGTGACCTGAACCTTGAGTGAGTGTTTTGGACCGAGTAGAGGGAGTGATCTAAGCCTTGAGTGAGTGTTTTGGGCCGAGTAGAGGGAGTGACCTGAACCTTGAGTGAGTGTTTTGGGCATAGTAGAGGGAGTGACCTCAGCCTTGAGTGAGTGTTTTGGGCCGAGTAGAGGGAGTGACCTAAAACCTTCAGTGAGTGTTTTGGGCCGAGTAGAGGGGAGTGACCTGAACCTTGAGTGAGTGTTTTGGGCATAGTAGAGGGAGTGACCTCAGCCTTGAGTGAGTGTTTTGGGCCGAGTAGAGGGAGTGACCTAAAACCTTCAGTGAGTGTTTTGGGCCGAGTAGAGGGAGTGACCTCAGCCTTGAGTGAGTGTTTTGGGCCGAGTAGAGGGAGTGACCTGAGCCTTGAGTGAGTGTTTTGGGCCAATTGGAGGGGAGTGATCTGAACCTTGAGTGAGTGTTTTGGGCCTAGTAGAGGGAGTGACCTCAGCCTTGAGTGAGTGTTTTGGGCCTAGTAGAGGGAGTGACCTGAACCTTGAGTGAGTGTTTTGGGCCCAGTAGAGGGAGTGACCTGAACCTTGAGTGAGTGTTTTGGGCCGAGTAGAGGGAGTGACCTCAGCCTTGAGTGAGTGTTTTGGGCCTAGTAGAGGGAGTGACCTGAACCTTCAGTGAGTGTTTTGGGCCGAGTAGAGGGGAGTGACCTCAGCCTTGAGTCAGTGTTTTGGGCCTAGTAGAGGGGAGTGACCTGAACCTTGAGTGAGTGTTTTGGGCCGAGTAGAGGGAGTGACCTGAACCTTGAGTGAGTGTTTTGGGCCGAGTAGAGGGAGTGACCTCAGCCTTGAGTGAGTGTTTTGGGCCGAGTAGATGGGAGTGATCTCAGCCTTGAGTGAGTGTTTTGGGCCTAGTAGAGGGGAGTGACCTGAACCTTGAGTGAGTGTTTTGGGCCGAGTAGAGGGAGTGACCTCAGCCTTGAGTGAGTGTTTTGGGCCGAGTAGATGGGAGTGATCTCAGCCTTGAGTGAGTGTTTTTGGGTCTGGTAGAGGGAGTGACCTCAGCCTTGAGTGAGTGTTTTGGGCCTAGTAACGGGGAATAACCTGAGCCTTAAATGAGTGTTTTGGGCCTAGTAGAGGGAGTGACCTCAGCCTTGAGTGAGTGTTTTGGGCCTAGTAGAGGGGAGTGACCTGAACCTTCAGTGAGTGTTTTGGGCCTAGTAGAGGGGAGTGACCTCAGCCTTGAGTGAGTGTTTTGGGCCTAGTAGAGGGGAGTGACCTGAACCTTCAGTGAGTGTTTTGGGGCGAGTAGAGGGGAGTGACCTCAGCCTTGAGTCAGTGTTTTGGGCCTAGTAGAGGGGAGTGACCTCAGCCTTGAGTGAGTGTTTTGGGCCGAGTAGAGGGAGTGACCTGAACCTTGAGTCAGTGTTTTGGGCCTAGTAGAGGGAGTGATCTAAGCCTTGATTGAGTGTTTTGGGCCTAGTAGAGGGGAGTGACCTGAGCCTTGAGTGAGTGTTTTGGGCCGAGTAGAGGGGAGTGACCTCAGCCTTGAGTGAGTGTTTTGGGCCTAGTAGAGGGAGTGACCTGAACCTTGAGTGAGTGTTTTGGGCCGAGTAGAGGGAGTGACTACAGCCTTGTGTGAGTGCTTTGGGCCGAGTAGAGGGAGTGACCTGAACCTTGAGTGAGTGTTTTGGGCCGAGTAGAGGGAGTGACCTCAGCCTTGAGTGAGTGTTTTGGGCCTAGTAGAGGGAGTGACCTGAACCTTGAGTGAGTGTTTTGGGCCGAGTAGAGGGAGTGACTACAGCCTTGTGTGAGTGCTTTGGGCCGAGTAGAGGGAGTGACCTGAACCTTGAGTGAGTGTTTTGGGCCGAGTAGAGGGGAGTGACCTCAGCCTTGAGTGAGTGTTTTGGGCCGAGTAGATGGGAGTGACCTGAGCCTTGAGTGAGTGTTTTTGGGTCTGGTAGAGGGAGTGACCTCAGCCTTGAGTGAGTGTTTTGGGCCTAGTAGAGGGAGTGACCTGAACCTTGAGTGAGTGTTTTGGGTCTGGTAGATGGGAGTGACCTGAACCTTGAGTGAGTGTTTTGGGCCGAGTAGAGGGGAGTGACCTCAGCCTTGAGTGAGTGTTTTGGGCCTAGTAGAGGGGAGTGACCTGAACCTTGAGTGAGTGTTTTGGGCCTAGTAGAGGGGAGTGACCTGAACCTTGAGTGAGTGTTTTTGGGCCTAGTAGAGGGAGTGACCTCAGCCTTGAGTGAGTGTTTTGGGCCTAGTAGAGGGGAGTGACCTGAACCTTGAGTGAGTGTTTTTGGGCCTAGTAGAGGGAGTGACCTCAGCCTTGAGTGAGTGTTTTGGGCCTAGTAGAGGGGAGTGACCTGAACCTTGAGTGAGTGTTTTTGGGCCTAGTAGAGGGAGTGACCTCAGCCTTGAGTGAGTGTTTTGGGCCTAGTAGAGGGGAGTGACCTGAACCTTCAGTGAGTGTTTTGGGCCTAGTAGAGGGGAGTGACCTGAACCTTGAGTGAGTGTTTTGGACCGAGTAGAGGGAGTGACCTCAGCCTTGAGTGAGTGTTTTGGACCGAGTAGAGGGAGTGACCTAAAACCTTGAGTGAGTGTTTTGGGCCGAGTAGAGGGGAGTGACCTCAGCCTTGAGTGAGTGTTTTGGGCCGATTAGAGGGAGTGACCTCAGCCTTGAGTGAGTGCCTTTGGACCGAGTAGAGGGAGTGACCTGAACCTTGAGTGAGTGTTTTGGGTCTGGTAGATGGGAGTGACCTGTGCCTGGAGTGAGTGTTTAGGGCCAATTAGAGGGGAGTGACCTGAGCCTTGAGTGAGTGTTTTGGGTCTGGTAGATGGGAGTGACCTGTGCCTGGAGTGAGTGTTTTTGGCCTAGTAGAGGGGAGTGACCTCAGCCTTGAGTGAGTGTTTTGGGTCTGGTAGATGGGAGTGATCTGAACCTTGAGTGAGTGCTTTGGGCCTAGTAGAGGGGAGTTACCTGAGCCTTGAGTGAGTGTTTTGGGCCAATTAGAGGGGAGTGACCTGAGCCTTGAGTGAGTGTTTTGGGCCAATTGGAGGGGAGTGATCTGAGCCTTGAATGAGTGTTTTGGGTCTGGTAGATGGGAGTGATCTGAGCCTTGAGTGAGTGCTTTGGGCCAATGAGAGGGGAGTTACCTGAGCCTTGAGTGAGTGTTTTGGGCCTAGTAACGGGGAATAACCTGAGCCTAGAGTGAGTGTTTTGGGCCTAGTAGAGGGGAGTGACCTGAGCCTTGAGTGAGTGTTTTGGGCCAATTAGAGGGGAGTGACCTGAGCCTTGAGTGAGTGTTTTGGGCCAATTGGAGGGGAGTGATCTGAGCCTTGAATGAGTGTTTTGGGCCAATTGGAGGGGAGTGATCTGAGCCTTGAGTGAGTGTTTTGGGTCTGGTAGATGGGAGTGATCTGAGCCTTGAGTGAGTGCTTTGGGCCTAGTAGAGGGGAGTTACCTGAGCCTTGAGTGAGTGTTTTGGGCCAATTGGAGGGGAGTGATCTGAGCCTTGAATGAGTGTTTTGGGGCAATTGGAGGGGAGTGATCTGAGCCTTGAGTGAGTGTTTTGGGTCTTGTAGAGAACAGTGACCTGAGCCTAGGCGGAAAGCTACTCAGGAACAAGCCTTCCAAATGTAATGTCTTTAGTTCTGAAGCAGGTATCCTTTTACAGTTCTGTTAAAAGCGTTCAATGTTTCCACGTTACCTTCATTGTCACTTTGCAGGTAATGCACTCATAAATTATACTGAGGTCAAATGATTCAGGATACATGCGTTGTTGTTGGAAAGTTTTGGGCAATTCAGTTAAAGGTAGTGAGACTGCTTGTGTTTTTGCATGTAGCACAAATATGACATATATGATAGAACATGCTGTGGATTGTGTTCCAGAAGCGGACGAGAACGGTTTGTGCCTGAAAGAAGAAGTCCTGGGTGAGGCTGCTGGGAACACATACTATTGTAACGACCCTGAGTTGCCACTGTGCTGCCAGACAGATGACATCCACAAATGCTGTGAGGCCGAAGACGAGAAGACATTGTATGTATACCAGTTAACGATACTGTGTTAATATATTGTGAGTTTACTGCCCCCGTGGTCTAGCGGTAGAGCGTCCGCCCAGAGAGCAGAAGGTCCGGGGTTTGATCCCCGACCGCGTCATCCCAAAAGATGGTACTTGTTGTTACCCTGTCTGGCGCTCGACATTAAGGGGCTTAAACAAGGACTGGTCGGCTCGGAGTCAGTATACTGTGAGGTATTCATGTTAAACTGCGGCATGTTATCTCAGTAAGCTAGCATTCTAAATAGGCATCATTCCTGACCAGTAAAAGCAGCCACACTCAGATAAACACACGTGTCTGTGTGTGGCCCACTAACTCACTGACAAGATGATACGCGTATAGGGTCTATCAGAAACCCCAAGAGAAATTTAAACAGAGTCTTCCGGACAACTCTACTCCCGGTGTCAGAGAGTGGAATTTCCCCCCTAGCCTAATTACCCCCCGGAAAAAGGACTATATAGCCAAATTTCCCCCGGAAAAGGGGCTATATAGCCAAACTTCCCCCGGAAAACTGGCTATATAGCCATACTTCCCACGGAAAGCACACTATATGGCTATATTTCCCACCCGGAAAATACACTACATAGCCAATTTTCCGCTTTGGAGTCAGATTTCCCCCATAATTAAATATATGTCTATTATCAAAAGTACCTAGATGTACAGTTGGCTGATGGAGTAATTTACAAGAGAAACCATGATTAAAATCTTGTGTTTTTTTGCGCCATACATTCTTAATTTTAATAAATAGAGGATAGTTCATTTCGACAGTGAGATATGTCTCTCGACAGATCAGATCAGCATTTTGTCACTGACGAAATGAAATGTTTTATTTATTATATATTTATTTAGAAGGGTAAGTGTTTTTTTTGTTTTTTTATTTTGTTGTTGTGTATTTGAGGTAAGTCAGCGAATCGAAAATCTTCCAACTGTCTTCAGGAACAATACGTCACATTGCTAGTTGAAACACATTTTGCTAGTTGATTTCGATCAGGTCTGCACTGTATACTTTAACGGCAGTCGTTCTCCTTATCATGGTTGCAGTGACATATCACTTTTCTGTCATCGAAAATCATCAGCCTCTCACTGCCAAGTATATATTATAAAGTATATTTACAACGTATATAGCGCATATATCTGTGCGTGCTCATGGCGTTTCTTGCCCCGATCAGAGGTCCGTGTATTTTGCATTCCAGAACTTCCCATCTACATGTGAAATATGCAACCAAAGCTGCCTGTCAGGCGCTAAAAGATTACCCATTCACATTACCACATTTAATCCTTGGTACCCATTTACTGTTTGTGGACAGAGGCATGCATGAACAAGATCACTTGCCAAAGGTGACGCCGCAAGTTTTTCAACTCGTGTTTCAGTGGAAGATATATGATTCCAACACACCATTAATCACTGCATTGTAGAAAATCACTGACGTGAAGTATTTACTAGTATCCAGCAGCAGTTCATAAATAAGTTCTCTGGCATGAATAACAAGTGGCAAGTCGGAATCGTCTATGTATTCAACACTAAACGTGTTATAAAGGATTCCTAAAAGCTTGTTTTCAATTGAGACACGTTTAACTCCAATTTCTCTGTCAAATATGGCATGCAAGACGTTAGGTTTTGCCATTGCTGTTTGATCAATGTTTGTTAAATGGTGCAGTAGGTTATGTTTTTTAATACTGCATTGAAAAAATCTGAGGGATATAGGGGAAATTCTGCTATATAGCCATACTTCCCCCTTGTGCTAAGGGGGGAAATGTGACTCTAAAGCGGAAATATGGCTATGTAGTCATTTTTCCCCGGGGGAAATTTAGCTATATAGCCCTATTTCCGGGGGAAAGTTAGGCTATACAGCCCCTTTTCCGGGGGAATTTAGGCTAGGGGGAAAATCACATTCGCTGACACCGGCACCTACAACCGAAACGAAACATGACAGATTATAAGTACGTGATATTTCTTTATGGATAACAACCCCGTTCTCAGCTGGCCTGTATCGAGTTAATATAAACATGCTGATATGTTTACAAACGATTGTATTGATTTACAAAAATAACAATATTATTACCATCCCGACCACGATATTCCCTGACAGCAAACCAAAATTCTTCACACCAATATCAATCGCTGAAAAACCAGAAACTGCAAGACACCGTTATATTATAAACAAAGAACCGGACCTCCCGATATGAGCATTAATCACAGTTGATTATCCATGGCATAAGGCAATGACATAAACATGGGTCTGTAATAGGTATAGGCTTATGACATAACGAGGCAGATTGACGATAACTATATATAGTGAAACGTTATTAGTCCGATCCCCTTTAAATCCAGAAAACCAGCGTCTATTGCTGGAAACACTACGTTTATACTGCGCCCCGAGTGGTATATTACCCCTGCAATATTTTATTACGATAAACATCTCCCGCTTTAAAACTAGTTACCTTAATTTTAATAATAATAACTTCCTGAATAGATTCCGAACTCGGCAATGTCGGAAAAGTCCTTTTTGGAACAGATGGGTTAAATTTGGTATTTCCCGCTTATTCTCACAATCCTCACGTCGATTATCTGTACCTTTTCTCCTCGTTCGGCCACTGCGCTATCTGCGTACCCAAGGTACCTCTATGGGGAAACAACTCACGAGACATTTCCCTCTCAAGAATAACGTCGTCCAATAGACGACGCCATCACGTTAAGAGCGCATGTTCGAATCTCCAGAAATGACGCCATGATAGAACAATGTTATATCGTGAAATAAACCGCGCTTCGCTCTTCGTTGCTCTTTGCGATTTATCGCGTAGCTATCTTATATTAACCTTATAAACACGATCGTTAACCCGGACCTTTGTTTATCCGGATTACGAGGACTACAATGTAGTTTCGTGCGCGTTGCTTTGTGGCATCATTATTGATTGAAGGACGTTGCTATGAGGCCACAACATGCTCCAGCCATATCACACGGGGTCTCTCATTAGGATAATCGATCTTACGCCTTCGGGATGAACACAGCTAATATAAATTCCCAGGATTAAATAGACCCTAATCCGGATCTGTCTTACAGTTCACTGTCAGCGGTAGTATCTATACCTGATGGATTGGGCCATCGGCCGCTATACATTAATATTGCAAACCGTAATATATGCAGTAAGATGAAGGACCACATACACTATATGCAGTAAGATGAAAGACATACAATATATGCAGTAAGATGAATGACCATATACAATATATGCAGTAGGATGAATGACATACAATATATGCAGTAAGATGAAGGACCACATACAATATATGCAGTAAGATGAATGACATGCAATATATGCAGTAAGATGAAAGACCACATACAATATATGCAGTAAGATGAAGGACCACATACAATATATGCAGTAAGATGAATGACATACAATATATGAAGTAAGATGAATGACCACATACAATATATGCAGTAGGATGAATGACATACAATATATGCAGTAAGATGAGGGACCACATACAATATATGCAGTAAGATGAATGACATACAATATATGCAGTAAGATGAATGACATACAATATATGCAGTAAGATGAAGGGCCACATACAATATATGAAGTAAGATGAATGACCACATAAATATATGAAGTAAGATGAATGACATACAATATATGCAGTAAGATGAATAACATACAATACATGCAGTAAGATGAATGACATACAATATATGCAGTAAGATCAATGAACACATACAATATATGCAGTAAGATGAATGACATACATACAATATATGAAGTAAGATGAATGACATGCAATATATGGAATAAGATGAATGACATACAATAAATGCAGTAAGATGAATGACATACAATATATGAAGTAAGATGAATGACATACTATATATGCAGTAAGATGAATGACCACATACAATATATGCAGTAAGATGAATGACATACAATATATGCAATAAGATGAATGACATACAATAAATGCAGTAAGATGAATGACATACAATATATGCAGTAAGATGAATGACATGCAATATATGCAGTAAGATGAATGACCACATAAACTATATGAAGTAAGATGAATGACATGCAATACATGCAATAAGATGAATGACATACAATAAATGCAGTAAGATGAATGACATACAATATATGCAGTAAGATGAATGACATACAATATATGCAGTAAGATGAATGACCACATACAATATATGAAGTAAGATGAATGACATATAATATATGCAGTAAGATGAACGACCACATACAATATATGCAGTAAGATGAATGACATACAATATATGAAGTAAGATGAATGACATACAATATATGAAGTAAGATGAATGACATACAATATATGAAGTAAGATGAATGGCATACAAAATATGCAGTAAGATGAATGACCACATACAATATATGCAGTAAGATGAATGACATACAATATATGAAGTAGGATGAATGACATACAATATATGCAGTAAGATGAATGACATACAATATATGCAGTAAGATGAATGACATACAATATATGCAGTAAGATGAATGACATACAATATATGCAGTAAGATGAATGACATACAATATATGCAGTAAGATGAAGGACCACACACAATATATGAAGTAAGATGAATGACCACATACAATATATGCAGTAAGATGAATGACATACAATATATGCAGTAAGATGAATGACATACAATATAAGAAGTAAGATGAATGACATACAATATATGCAGTAAGATGAATGACATACAATATATGCAGTAAGATGAATGACATATAATATATGCAGTAAGATGAATGCCATACAATATTTGAAGTAAGATGAATGACATACAATATATGAAGTAAGATGAATGACATACAATATATGCAGTAAGATGAATGACATACAATATATGCAGTAAGATGAATGACCACATACAATATATGCAATAAGATGAAGGACCACAGACAATATATGCAGTAAGATGAATGACATACAATATATGCAGTAAGATGAAT